TCTACACAAGAACTTATTATTTATAGTTTCCTTCACTACATACACAAATTACACACATGCATATATATATATACATATGAACGTCAATGAAGAGAGAAAGAGAGAGAGAGAGAGAGAGAGTATCGGGCAACGACCGAAAGAGAACATTGCCATTCGACCACGTAGGATTTTCATTTCCCGCCAGGTCTAAACACAGAGAGAGTAGCTAGCCTATCATCGTTCACTGTTTCTACGATCGAGAGTAGGAGGACGAGGAGGAGGAGGAGGTGGTGTACGAGGTGGTGGTAGAAGAGGAGGAGCTCGACAAGAGGAGAATTTCAGGGACGAGAATTCGTGCCACGTGCGATACGCAGCACCAAGGCCATGGCCGACACATCATACAAATAACGTGTGCACATACACACATATCAATTTATTTTTTTTTTATTTATAATATATTTAATTATTATAAACAATAATATTGATATTAATCAATTGAAAATGATTTCAATTATAATTTTCCTTTTTATTTTGTCTTAAATATGTTAAATTAAAATAAAATATCAATAGAAAAATTTATTAATACTCATTATTTTATTAGTAAAACTTTTTGTTTAAAATTAATGGATGATAATGATTGATTTTTATATACTGATGAATAAAAAAAAAAAAAAAAAGAAAATGAAGATTTAATTATACTTGTAGAAAATTATATTTAATCATCACGGAACCGTACGAAACTAAAAAAGAAATCTGTTTATTCATCTTATGTTTCTATCTCTTTCTTTCTTATTCTTTCTTATCGTAGTCGATGAGTTACAAGGTCGATGACTTTATACTATACTACTACTACTACTCCTAATACTATTACTACTACTACTACTACTACTACTGCTGCTACTACTTCTCCCACTTCTGTAATTCCTACTTTAATTTTTCTAGTTTTTTTTTTTATCTGCTCACTGAAAGAATTCATCTATCTATCGAATCATTGAAATTATATTTGTTCACGTATATTAATAAATACATTCTAATAAAAATCAATCAAATTTCATTGACAAAAAAACAAAAAAAAAAGAAAAAATTCAAATTATATTTTTAATCATTTTTAAATGACTCAAAAATATGATCATCGTATTAATGTATTGTGTCATTGATTGATTACAAGGTTTTTGATTTTTTTTTTTTTTTTTTTTTACTATTTCATTCACGGTTCTTCGTAGTCATCGTGAAAAAAAAAAAAAAACAAGAAAAAAGAAACACGGAAATAATTCGCACAAAATTAATTCTCCTTTTTTTTTTTTTACAAGTTATACGAGTATACCTTAATTAATATCGTATTATAAATTATGCATATATGTGTGTGTATATGTGTGTGTGTGTGTTTTTTTTTAAATAATATATGACTAGTTTTAATTGAGTAAACCTTGAAATCGAATGAAAAATATTTCCCGTCAAAAAATGGTATAATTAAAATGATTCAAATGATGATGATGATGATGATTATTATTATTATTATTATAATTATTATTATTATTATTATTATTATCATTGATTAAACAGACATCAATTTTAATGTCTTTCTCAAATGAATATTTCATTCACATTTTAAACGATAAGAATGAAGATACTTAAAATGATACCTGAATATCATTATATATATTATTTCAATAACGAATGATAAAAATATATTATAATATACAGTGTATTAATGTAAGTTATTGAAATTAAAGAGCAGAATTGATAGTGGGGAAGAGGGGGAG